AGCATGTAATTTAAGGTAATTTAGAGACAGGTGGCCAGAAAATGGCGAGGCAGCCAGAAACCGTGGCATATGAGGAAAATCAGAGAAGACTGGAGGAACAGGGTGGCTCCTTACGGTGCTCGGTGGGTTCTCGCTAGGCAAAGGGAACACTGAGGTAAGTGGCGTGCCAGTGTACAGGGAAAGAAAGGAGACATCCCAGCAATGTGTTTAAGGAACAGCTTTCTGAGACCTGGAATGGGATGTGTACGAAGAACGTTGTTCTCTGTCAGAGAAGCTTGAGCAGTGAATCCAAGCAAGGAGCTCCAAAAACGAGAGCAGGCACAGCATGCTCCATTGAGTTACAGGTGGAGGAGAGAGGAAAAAATCATGGATAAGTTTTATCTACAAACATCAGGAAGAAATTCATCTTCATCGTGTGGAACGTGAGGTATGCTGGAGGAAAATTGGGAGCTCCTCCTTGTGGGTGATCAGTAGCAGGGACGTCACGTGTTTGTGGGTTTGCAGCATACTTCAGTGTACCTGAGCAGGTTACTTAGTTTTAACTAAGTAACCCTCAAGGAAATGTACGAGTAGCTTGGAAAGATTCCTGCAACAAACCTTAGATTGAAATACTACTACTAAGAGCACAAGCAAGAAAAGAACATGGCAAAACTGACACTCTGTAGTAATTGGGTCAAAAAAATTTAGAGACTCCCCCCTGGCCCAGCTGATCATCTCCAAATTTAAGAATCAGAATAATATTGAATATTGCAGCTGTAGCCCAAAAGTCCTTGGATATCTTCCTTCAAGCCCCTCGTTTTGCAGTTGAGCAATCTCAGCAGAGACAGACCCCTGTCTTGAGAGGACCAGGTCCACTCATGGCCATTTCAAATCTCATTTTCCTCCCATGGGGATTTGCAATGCTGTGAATTGGTGATGTTTTAGGTACAATTCTAGTTTCCTCCCCCCCCCCCAACCCTGCTTTAAGACATAGTTTTGGCCACCCAAAGAGAAGGTTGCCTCCATCAGTAAACAGACATTTGAATGTGATTTCTTTAGGTCAGCCTTGACAAGTGGGAAAGTTTTTTGAATTTTTAAAGGACAGAGTTTTTAAATCTATAAAATTAGGTACTGAGTCTCTTAAACATGGGCAGACTGTCAGTGAGCCTACGACTCCTTTGTGAGCGATGGTAAAGTTCAGGGTCATCTCCATCTGCACTAGAAGCCCATGTACTTCTGCTCTCTGGATTAAGGTTAAGAAGAAAAGACAATAGTGAGTGAACAATAGGAGTCCGCTGTCTTGTCAGGGCTTCAAACAAGTTATAAGGAGAGGCAGCTGGAGGGGGGCCAGGCAGAACTTTTTAGGGGGTGACTCATGGAGGGGCGGATGCTGGGTCTGTGGAGGAACTGTATGGAGTTGGCTTCACTTTGAGCTCGAAAGCAAGTCCTCAAGAGAGAGAGAGAGAGAGGACACACGGCTTCCTAGGGAGCCAGGAGTTTAAAGAAGAGCTTTGGTTTGAAACCACTGAAATAGACAAGAAACACCTAGACTAGAAAAGTGTAAAAAAATAAAAATAAAAATAAAAAAAAGAAAAGCGTTAGGTCTATAGGAGTTGACAGAAGGATTTAAGGTCCCAGGTGGCTCTAAGATGCTCTTCGTTGTGTAGATCTGGATTTAGCTGCCTGGCCGAGCTCACATCTGTGCCTTCACTTGTGCACATTGTTTATGCTGGGTTATCTGCTGAGCGGTGTGCAGAGGTGCCTTGCATTCCTAATCCTTGGCCTGAGTTTATGGCGTGTACATCTTGTCCTTAAAGGCAGCTGTGGAGAGAAAAGAGCTTTTACTGGGACGTAGCCTCCACGGAGAGCCTTCCTCCTGGTCAGCCTCAGAGCAGTTTCAATCCCTAAATCTACTTCCCATGGTCCCCTCCCAGTTCATTTGCTGGGCAGTGATGCCACCTACTGGGGAACTGAATAACTCACAGAACATTTAGATGACTGTAGGTTTCCAAATACAACTCACATCTCCCTGCTTTGTGCTTAACTCTGCGCCCATTCAGTGCGGTTTGCCGGCTTCTGTAGAGCCAAAACTCCACAGCACATGGGCAGTCAGGATTCATAATGCTATCTCCTGTTTTAAGATGGCTATAAATGATGTCAACAAATGAAAATTTAAAAACAATGCACAGAAGGTCTGGATGAAAGTACCAAAAGGATAATAATGACTAGGTTAGGATGGTACTATCGTGTTTTCTAAATGCTTTATGATATAGTTTGTGTTTCTTTCTTAGAAAAATTTTTATTCATAGTATTTTTTTAAGTAGTAGATAATATAGAAAGGGAGATGATAAAAATACAATCATTGACTAGACAAGAAAAAAATTTCTTTTTTAAATAAAAAATAAGGCTGGGCATGGTGGCTCACACCTGTAATCCTAGCACTCTGGGAGGCTGGGGCAGAAGGATTGCTTGAGGTCAGGAGTTTGACCAGCAGCCTGAGCAAGAGCAAGATGCCATCTCTACAGAAAATACAAAAATTAGCTGGGCATGGTGCTGTGTGCCTATAGTCCCAGCTACTTGGGAGGCTGAAGCAGGAGGATCACTTGAGCCCAAGAGTTTGAGGTTGGAGTGAGTACAATGGTTCCACTGCATTCTAGCCCAGGCAACAGAGTGAGACCTTGTCTCAAAATAATAATAATAATAATATTAACAAATAAAAATAAAAAACAAAATCACTACTACCACTCAAACAGCTACTACCAACATTTTGATGTGCTTCTGTTTAGTCATTTTTGTCATAGATTTTTTGTATCTTTTTTTAAATTACAATCATTCTATGTAATTCTTTTGTCATTTACTTTTACTCTGTTAATAATTCTATTCCATTTATAATACTAAAATCATTTAGATGCATAGGGTTCCTAAAAATCTGATCTTCAAGTAATTGTTTTATACTTTTTGTCCTATACTTGTGTTTTATTTTCATGTGTAAGGAGATATCTCCAAAAATCAGTAAGTGAACAGGTGAACACAGTAAGATGAATATTTTTAAATGTATTATGCAACTTCGAGCCCACTATTGGAGGTGAGGTGTGGTTTGCCCAGTAGGGCCCAGCCCTGTGTGCGCGCCACCTAGTGGCAGTGGTCATGAACAGTCTGAATTCTCTGCTTAGCCTATTGTGGGCACAAAGGACTCTAGGAAATGTTCGGATTGGGGTTTACATCATGTGCACCAAACAAGAACCACATGAAGGCCGGACATGGTGGCTCACACCTGTAATCCTAGCACTCTGGGAGGCTGAGGCAGGCAGATTGCTCTAGGTCGGGTTCAAAACCAGCCTGAGCGAGACCTCGTCTCTACTAAAAATAGAAAATTAATTGACCAACTAAAAATATATATAGAAAAAATTAGCCGGGCATGGTGGCGCATGCTTGTAGTCCCAGCTACTCTAGAGGCTGAGGCAGCAGTATCGCTTGAGCCCAGGAGATCGAGGTTGCTGTGAGCTAGGCTGACGCCATGGCACTCACTCTAGCCTGGGCAACAAAGTGAGACTCTGTCTAAAAAAAAAAAAAGAACCACATGAAAGGGAAGAGGGCTCGTGGAACCTATGAAATGAAAAGTTCACATGGGAAGATAGCTGTTTGGCGTTCCAGCCCTTGGGCCACCTCCAAATCATCTTTTTAAATCTCTTTTTAAACAAATCTTTTCTCCACTTGTAACTCATTCACCTTATTATCAAAAAAAATAATGTCTGCCCTTTCTCACAGATATGTTTGAGTAGGCTCTTGGGGAGGCAGATTGTGCAAAAGAAAACACGGTTGTTAGAGCCATGAAGAGCTGATGTGAACCCCCGCTCTGCCACTTGCCAGCTGTGTCCCAGGCTAAGTCCCTTAATCTCTCTGAGCTCAGTTTCCTCATCTCTAATATGGGGATAATCACAGCTTCTTTGCTAGATTATAATAAGGACTAGACATTATGCTTAGCGCTGTCCTTTTAGTGTGAGTGCTTAATAATTAAGTGTAGCTGTTTTTATGATACAGAGCCATATGGGCTAGATGCCTATAATCCCAGCACTTTGGGAGGCCAAGGCAGGAGGATCACTTGGGGCCAGGAGTTTGAGACCAGCCTGGGCAACATAGTGAGACCCCATCTCTCAAAAACAAAAGTCAGCTGGGCGTGGTGGCACACACCTGTAGTCCCAGCTACTCTGGAGGCTGAGGCAGGAGGATCGCTTGAGCCCGAGTTCAAGACTGAAGTGTGCTACGATCTCACCACAGCACTCCAGCTATGTGACAGAGCGAGAGACTGTCTCTAAAAAGAAAAAAAAGGGCCTTATTAAGTCAGATTAGGTGAAAACAATTTAAAAAGTTAATTCAGTTTACCAATTCTGGGATGCGCAGGTTTTTCCCATGTTAACATCTCTGAAATCAAGATGCATTCATGACGTGCCGATGTTTTTTTCTTTTTAGTGGCTATATGAAATAACAGTACCCCTAACATTTGGTGGTGTCTTAATCAAAATGTGATAATTATGACCTCTGAGCGAAGTGCTACAGAGAGAAGTTTTACATGCTTTGGGGTTGTGCTTGTGAAGCCAGAATATGGTGACTGCTCACGTGAGATCTGATGGAGACAGTCCTGTTCCCACTGCCCTGTTCCCTTCTCAGACTTGAACCTGGGAGCTGCCATTTCTCCGATTTTTATCTGGAAAGTGTGTGTCGAACCTTTTCAGATTCACAGGTTGTTGCCCAGCAGCCCGTGGCACCTGCCAGCACACAGCGTACAGGAGGGGAACGCGGGGGCTGTCTGGGAGGGGTGTGCTGAAGGCCGCGGATCCCTTCTCCGTTGCCGCCTCCCCTGCTACACGCGCACATGGCCGCCGCCTCTCCCGGCCGCTCAGAGGAGTGAATGGGCCGGTGCATGGGACATACCTGGCACATGCTCGACTCAGTAAACAACAGCTGACTTCACTCTCCATCTCCTTGGCAACGGGGCCTCATCTTTTCTCTCTCTTTCACAGTCTAATAAAGTTCCCGTTGTCCAGCACCCACATCACATGCATCCGTTGACACCCCTCATCACCTACAGCAACGACCACTTCTCCCCCGGCTCCCCTCCCACACACCTCTCCCCGGAGATCGATCCAAAGACAGGTGAGTGGTCTGCCACTCGGGCAGCGCCCCTGCAGGGTGGGCAGGCCTTCCTGTGGGGGGTGGGGGGCGTGACAGCCCTTGAGTGAGGCACACCTGGGTTCCAGTCATGCCTCCAGCTCTGGAGAGGCCCCACCCTCTACACCACAGGGTCAGGGTCATGGTCATGGCGAGGACGGGAGGGAATTCCCGTAAGCGTGCGGGGCTGCTCTGTCCGAGTCTAGCTCAGCTGCAGGCTGTGCTTCCATAAGACAAGACCTTTGCCCTAAACCGAACATTTTCAAATAAAGGCATCAGTGTAGCCAGACTTATAAATACAGCTATACAGCAGTGAGGCTGAGCTAGCTTTTTTTTTTTAACTTGCCCACCAGACCTGTCTGTCCCAGGGAGCCACGGTCTTCAGGGCATGCCCACAGAATCACCGTGGGTGGCACTGCATTTTTGGGGTCCCTCTTTGGAGAAATAATGGTTGCAGATAATAAGGAAGACAGATGTGGAATGGAAACCCAAAGTTTATTTCTCCATGAATTAGGCAGGTTTTCTAGAAAGTTAGTTAATGGATGACTGAGGCTGCCCCAGCTCCCTCTCGTACAAGCCTCCTGTGTGCCAGGCAGCTGGGAGTTCCTCCTGCCAACAGAGATGGCATCTGCGTAGCTACAAAGAAGATGTGTTAGTCTGACCCTCCCTGAATTATGTCCTTGAGTGACTGGTCGCAGCTGCCAGGGAGGTGGCAGAGGGCAAGGGTGATGAGAGGAAAGGGTCTTCCAGGCTCCAGAGTGCCAGGGACATAGGACATGGGGGAGGGATGCTCCCAGATGATGTTCTTTAAGGTGCTAAGGTGGGGCCAGGGAACAGTCTGACACCTGTCTCTTTGGAAGCAGGAATCCCCCGGCCCCCTCACCCATCTGAGCTGTCACCATATTACCCACTCTCTCCCGGAGCTGTCGGACAAATCCCCCACCCCCTCGGCTGGCTCGTCCCACAGTAAGGAAACTTGCAGCCTCTCTCACCCTCATTCCTCCCTTGCACTGCACTCTGCCTCTGTGTCCCCAGCCTGCCCTCCCAGGAAGCCCCTCAGAGGAAGCGCCCAGGACCTAGACCACCCTGGGCGGCTCGCTCCCGACGCTTCCTTCCTGCCTGCCCCTGTTTCTCACCCTTTCTTCCCACCCTTCTCCTGCCCTGCCCTGACTTTCCCCATGCGCTGACCAGGTTTCCTTGCTCCTGGCCCTCATAGGCAAGGACAGCCCATGTACTCCCTCCCTCCTGGTGGCTTCCGGCACCCGTACCCTGCCCTCGCCATGAACGCCTCCATGTCCAGGTGAGTCCCGGGGATGTTTGTGTGCTGGTGGCCGTGCTGTGACTGGCTGTGAAACAGCCTTTCTCTTCAGTGACCAAGAAGGCCTGGGCTCACCCCTTCACCCGCCTCTCTGTGATAAGTTGCCTTGCCCTGGCCCATGCGCCTGACCCCCAGGTCAGAATGGAAACCGTAGGATCACTCTTTTCCCGACTCTCTAAGAGAATAATTTCAAAGCCCTCGCACCCTCCCCTCCTGCCGTGGACTTAGTGGCATAGACGCATTTTGAGTCTAGATGCTCTTTGACTCAAGATGGGGTTATGTCCCGGTAAACCCAGTATAAGTTGAAAATATCATAAGTCACTTTTCACCTTACAAAATTTTTGATTAACAATGGGTTTACCCAGACATAACCCCGTCTAAGTCAAGGAATGTACTGAATGCATATTGTTTTTGTACCGTCGTAAAGCAAAAAAAAATCATAAATTGGGAATGTTACTGCATATCATACTGAAGCCAGAGACTGGTAGGAAATAAATTTTTTCTGAAATGATGTCAGGAGAGGAGAGGAGACGGTGAAAGAGGATTTCTGTCTCAGGGACTGGCTCTACCTGACAATGGGACCACCAGTGACAGAGGGCATGCCACCCACAGCATAAGCCCTTATTTCCCCCTGTGTACCCTGGCCTCTGCCCCTCTACTTCTTTTGTGTGTTTCATCCTACCTATTTCCAGCACCAGATATAAGTACCCATGTACTTGGCAGGGGTCAGGGGGGATTGTTAGGTGTTTCCCAAACTTGGTTCTCTAGAAGATGATAAGTGGCCTTCTGTTCCTCAAACTATGCCACAGCAGAGGTGTTGACATGCCTCTTCCCTCAAGGCAGGGAGCCACCCATGTCCTCTGCTGGGTGACAGGCAGTCAGCCTGAGTCCCTCTGTCATCATCTGTTTCCACCTGGTATGCAGCCTGGTTTCCAGTCGGTTCTCCCCTCACATGGTGGCTCCCGCCCATCCTGGTCTGCCCACCTCAGGGATCCCCCACCCCGCCATCGTCTCACCCATCGTCAAGCAGGAACCAGCACCGCCCAGCCTGAGCCCTGCGGTGAGCGCGTAAGTGACAGGCAGCCCGGATCAGGGCGGGAGGGGCAGTCTTGGGGGGCAGTCTCTGAGCAGCAGATGCTGTCTGTGTTTCTCTCCGGGTCCCATCTGGCAGGCAGCCTGGCATTCCCTCGGCCAGGTCCTCTCCCTTGGGAATCATTCCCTCCGACTTGCTGTGGTCCCATCCTCTCAGGGACACCATGCCTCTTGTTTCCCCTATTGAGGAGAGTTTTACAGCCGGATTTTAGAGACTGAAAGAGAACCTGAGAAAGCTTTTAGCTCCCCTCATCCCCCCACCTCCCACCCCCACGTTACACTTGAAAATGTGAGGCCCAGAAAGGACAAAGTGTTTTCTTTCGAGCTGAGCCGAGCACCAGGGTCCTGCCTTGTCCACCATGCCATGAAGACGACAGGAAGCCAGTCAGTGCTCCACGGCCAAGGAGCCCCTTGTTTCTTCCGAGAGCCCTATGCCACTTCCCGTCACCCATGGCCAGCGCCTGCCAGCTTGGGGGAGAGTTAATCTCAGCTCTCCCACCACCCTCTGCCCTTTGTCGGGACATCAGTGGGTAGATTTTCAAAGAACGTGGCTTGGAGAGCACTCGCAGGGCGGGAACTACTTGCGGAAGATGCTTAAGTGCCAAGGCAGCCATGGGGCCACTCGAGTGGCATCCCAGCAGCTCAGGTGCCGTCCCCAGAGGCAGTGACCGGTGAGTCGGATGCCTCCTGACACTTGCTAACCTGCAGCCATGCGCCTTCCCAGGAAATCGCCAGTCACCGTGAAAAAGGAGGAAGAAAAGAAACCCCACGTGAAGAAGCCTCTGAATGCCTTCATGTTATACATGAAGGAGATGAGGGCCAAGGTGGTGGCTGAGTGCACCCTGAAGGAAAGCGCAGCCATTAACCAAATCCTGGGGCGGAAGGTAAGGCCCGCCACTACCCTCCAGGCCGCGGGGGGTCAGCCAGCAGCCCCGGCACTGACCGCCCTTGTCGTCTCTGGCCCTCCCTCCCCCAGTGGCACAACCTTTCTCGAGAAGAGCAGGCCAAGTACTATGAGCTGGCCCGGAAGGAGCGGCAGCTTCACTCCCAGCTCTACCCGACCTGGTCAGCGCGGGACAACTATGTAAGTGCTCTCCCTGGGCAGGGGGACACTCAGACCCCAGGAGCAGCCTCTGCAGGGGGGATGGGGAGAAGGAAAGTGACTACATTTATAGAGGGCTCTTAAGACAGGGAGAAGCTCGTATTTCTCTAGAAATAGGGAAGGCATTTTAAATTCTTAAGAGGTCAACAAGATATCCTAAGGACAGGCTTAAATTTGTATCATTACCATTTTAACTGGACTCCGCTTTTGATTCTGTAACACAGGGTGCAGTGCTAGCCCGGGGCCCAGAGACCAGCGTATGAGCCTCAGGGGAGCTTGTCTATAAACTCCCGGAAACTAGGCAGATTTTTGAATATATGTCCTTATTTGCTTTTTTTCTGGTAAGAGAATCTATGGCTGCATCAGATTTTCAAAGCGACCTGGGACCCATCAAAAAAGAATAAGAACCACTGTTTTAGCCCTGGCGTGGTGGCTCACTCCTGTAACACCAGCACTTTGGGAGGCCAAGGTGGAAGGATCACTTGAGGCCAGGAGTTGGAGATCAGCCGGAGAACATAGCAAGACACTGTGTCTACAAAAAAAATAAAAATAAAAAAATCAGCCAGGCATGGTGGTGCATGCCTGTAGTCCCAGCTACTCAGGAGGCTGAGGCAGGAGGATGTTCTATTCTAGGGAGAGAAACAGAAAACAAGTCTGAAGGGCAGGAGCAGGAGGCAGCCTTCCGGGAAGGCCTGGACAGCTGGCCTGTAGGGGAAGAGCGTCTGTGTGAAGGGGAAGGAAGGCCCCCACCACCTCCAGTCCGACTCCCCTCCACTGCCCTCACCAGGGGGCCAAGAGCAGTGGGGACAATGTCCTGTCTTCTCCCTGATTGGGGGTCCCCCTGATGAGCTGGCATTATTCCCTCCCTGCTTACCGGTTCCTTTGGCCATCTTTCCCAGGGTAAGAAAAAGAAGAGGAAGAGAGAAAAGCAGCTGTCCCAGACACAGTCCCAGCAGCAAGTCCAAGAGGCAGAGGGTGAGTTGGGGTGGGGGGGGGCACTGCCCTCTTCACTGTCTTTCCTGCCGAGGCAGCTTGCTGGGTCCATGCTGTCTTCTAACAGCTGTCATTTGCAGGGCTCTGCCTCTCAGTAGCCTCAGCATACTCAGGTGGGTGTTATTATCCTTTTTAGAGGTGTCCAATTAAGAGACTCAGAGAAGTAAGGGCATTTTCCAAGTCACTCTGCTTGTCAAGTGGTGGCAACAGGATTTGAACCCAGGAAATTCTCACTTCAAAGCCTGGGTGCTTTTCAATTCAGTTGAGTTGCATCCTACTTGAGGGTTAATGGAGTGTGGTTGAAATTGTCCTTGAAGTTCCCTTAGGAGGGCAGCACATGAGAGACTGGTGTACCAGCTAGCAGTGAATCCAGTAGAGTCAGGTTTTCCTCCAGTGTTTTTTTGGTTGAACGCCACAAGAAATGGTTTGCTTAAGTTTAGGGGCCAATTTGTGTCCAAAATCTGTGCTAAATCTTTTTATACCCAAATCACACCTAGCACAAAGAGATGCCCACATTGTGACAAGTATGCGAGTCATGCTCCCATCTCATGCTCACTCCAGGACAAGTGTACAGCTGCTTGCACCATCAAAAGTGCTCTCCAGGGCCGGGCGTGGTGGCTCACACCTGTAATCCTAGCACTCTGGGAGACCGAGGCAGGCAGATCATTTGAGCTCAGGAGTTCGGGACCAGTCTGAGCAAGAGCAAGACCCTGTCTCTACCAAAAATAGAAAGAAATTAATCAGACAACTAAAAATATATATATGGTGGCGCATGCCTGTAGTCCCAGCTACTCGGGAGGCTAAGGCAGGAAGATGGCTTGAACTCAGGAGTTTGAGGTTGTTGTGAGCTAGGCTGACGCCAAGGCACTCTAGCCCGGATGACAGAGCGAGATTCAGTCTCAGAAAAAAAAAAAGCTCTCCATCTCCCATTTCCTTCCTTCTTCCCTTGTATCTACATAACGTGAGAGTCATCTACATAGGAATACATGTAAGTGAAAAAATGTATATGCAAAATCCACTGTATGGTATGCTGCTCAGCAGGCATATAGTATCTCTGTACCATAAGCCAAAGATTTTAAAGCAAATTGAATAGAGATCCATCCCAAAAGTTGCGAGATTTAGGAAAGGAAGACTGAGCTTCCCTTACTAAGTCTTCATCAGTTTGGGCGTTGCCCCTTCTGTATGCACTGGGTATTCTTGAATGCAGTTTCCTCATCCTGGAAACCTTAGAAGTAATTTCAGGTCCTTGCTTAAGCATCCCTATGTTTCCAAAGTCCATATGCACAGCTAGGGCTGATCCTCAGCCTCTATCTCTCCCAAAGCTACAGCTGTTCACCCTTTCTTGCATTTTTTTTCTCCTAGGTGCTCTGGCCTCCAAGAGCAAGAAGCCATGTGTTCAGTACCTGCCCCCTGAGAAGCCCTGTGACAGCCCCGCCTCCTCCCACGGCAGCATGCTGGACTCCCCTGCCACCCCCTCTGCAGCCTTGGCCTCCCCAGCTGCCCCTGCTGCCACCCACTCGGAGCAAGCCCAGCCCCTCTCCCTCACCACCAAGCCGGAGACCCGGGCCCAGCTGGCTCTGCACTCCGCTGCCTTCCTGTCAGCTAAGGCTGCAGCCGCCTCCTCTGGCCAGATGGGCAGCCAGCCCCCCATCCTGTCCCGGCCCCTCCCCCTCGGGTCCATGCCCGCAGCTCTGCTGACCTCTCCCCCGTCCTTCCCAGCCACGCTCCATGCCCACCAGGCCCTGCCAGTGCTGCAGGCCCAGCCTCTCTCCCTGGTCACCAAGTCTGCCCACTAAGCCGCCCCTGACCTATGCAGGCTGTCACGTGACTCAACGAGTAGAAATGATTCACAAGAAAAAAGAAAAGGAAACTTTATTGGTCAATATTTGACCACTCTGGACTGTTCTGTAAAGTGACTGGTAACAACAGCACTTTACATTTTGTAGATGTAACCAGTAGCTGATCTTAAGGCTTTTTTAAAAAACAAAACAAAACAACAAAAAAAAAATCTCTAAAAGAAAGAACTGAAAAGTAGTGTGCTATTCGTCCCTTATGTGCTGTGGTGGATGGACCTGGGCAGAAGATGCCTTTCTGTATACCTCTCTCTCTCTCTCTCTGCCTCCTGCCTCCTCTCCTTCTCTGTCCCTACCTGCCTCAGCTTCCCCACTCAGTCTGCATGTTTGCCACTGCTATGATTTCTAGCCAGGGACTCTGCCAGGGACTGGGCCAGTCCTGCTCACGTCCCGTTACCCAGCCCAGGTTTCCATCATCTGCTCAAGACCATGGATCCTTCCCCTTTGACCCTTTTGTCCTCTGCCCAGTGGAAGGCCGTCACCATGTGAGAAGACATCGTGGCCTGATTTGTTTCCACCAGCATCCCCCTCCCGCAGTGGACCCAGACCCACCAGCCCCCAACTTCCGGTGGGGAAGGTGGTCCTCTGAAATGGTTCAAGCCCACATTTAAAGGGACTCAAGGTGCCTGCCACTTCCCCAGTGAAGAAGTCTGTGTTCCTCCCCCTCCTTGCCGGTGGAGACCGTCCCCTCACAGTCCCAGAGTGGCAGACAGGACCGGCTCCACGGTCTGGCTCTTGTCACCTGGGTCAGTGCCAGCACAATCTGCCAAAGTTCTAAAGACCCTCTCCCCTCCCCCATCACCTCACATGCTTCTTCTGTGTGTATTTCTTTTTGTTTTTATGATTTTTGGAGCAATTTAAACTCCCAGTTGTTTATTTTCACAAAAGAAAATAAAATTGCAGTTGCAAGACCTTTTCTGAGTGTTTCTTCAGTCCTTTCGTTGAATCAAACCACTTTTTTCATGCCAAGCCCTGTGTTAGATTTTTGCAAATGTGCAAAGGAGCTGCCACTTGTTGGAGGGGGATGTAAAACATGCTGACACAATTAGAAAACTCCAGCCCTGCTTCCAGTCTCAAATGTGCATAGACCAGTCAGTATTGATGACTGAGATGTGAAGGGGGGAATCTTTTTATATTATAGTTGATTTAAATTAATTTGGAAGACATTCTGCTTACGCTTCTAACACCTACTTGACTTGTGACTGCCAAGATGTCAGGCACATCCTCTGTATGCTTGCCCTTTTAACAAGGATTGCAGTTTGTTTAACAATTTTATTGAGATACGATTTACCTGTTTAAAGCTACAACTAGCGAGACCCCGTCTCTACTATAAATAGAAAGAAATTAATTGGCCAACGAATATATATATATAAAATAGCGGGCATGGGTGGATCGTGTCTGTCAGTCCAGCTACTTGGAGGCTGAGGCAGGGGATGGCTTGAGCCAGAGTTTGAGGTGCTGTGGACTAGGCTGATGCACGGCACTCACTCTAGCTGGGCAATAAAGTGAGACTCTGTCTCAAAAAAAAAAAAAAATCTACAACTCACTTATTTAAAATAACAATTCATTGGTTTTTAGTATGTTCAGAGTTGTATATCCACCACCACTATCAATTTTAGAACATTTTCATCTCTCTTAAACCCCATAGGCCGGGCGCAGTGGCTCACGCCTATAATCCTAGCACTCTGGGAGGCCAGGGCGGGCGGATTGCTCGAGGTCAGGAGTTCGAAACCAGCTGAGCAAGAGCGAGACCCCGTCTCTACTATAAATAGAAATTAATTGGCCAACTAATATGTACAGAAAAAATTAGCCAGGCATGGTGGCGCATGCCTGTAGTCCCAGCTACTGGGGGTGCTGAGACAGCAGGGATTTCTTGAGCCCAGGATTTGAGGGCTTGCTGTGAGCTAGGGCTGACAGCCACGGCATCACTCTAGCCTTGGGCCAACAAAGCGAGACTCTGTCTCAGAAAAAAAAAAAAAACCATACCCTTTGGAAATCACTCTGTTTCCCCAGTTCCTCCCTACCCCCCACTGGCCCTAAGCAACCACTAATCTCCTTTGTCTCTAAATCTGTCTATTCTAGACATCTTGTATACAGTCATGCATTGCTTAACAACTGAAGTTCTGAGAAATGTGTCATTATGCCATTTTATCATTGTGTGAGCATCACGGAGTGCACTGCCACAGACCCAGGTGGTGCAGCCCCCACACACAGCTAAGCTGTATGGGGTAGCCTGTTGCTACCGGGCTCGGAACCAGTACAATGTGTTACTGTACTAATTCTGTAGGCAACTGTAACACAGTGTTAAGTATTTGTGTATCTAAACATAGAAAAGTCACAGTAAAAATATGGTATAAAAGATTAAAAAGGGCCAGGCACAGTGACTCATACCAGGAATCCCAGCATGTTGGGAGGCTAAGGCGGGAGGATTGCTCAAACTCAGGAGTTTGAAACTAGCCTAGGCAATATAGCAAGACCCCATCTCTACAAAATATAAAAAAAATTATCCAGGTGTCATGGCATGAGCATGTAGTCCCAGCTACTTGAGAGGCCGAGGCAGGAGGATCACTTGAGCCCAGGAGTTTGAGATTACAGTGAACTATGATCGTGCCACTGCACAATAGCCTGGGTGACAGAGTGAGAACCTGTCTTAAAAAGAAAAAAAAAGATAAAAATTGGTATACTTGTGTAGGACACTTAACCATGAATAGACCTTGCAGGACAGGAAGTTGCTCTGGGTGACTGAGTAGTGAGTGAATGTTAAGACCTAGGACATTGTTGTATACTACTGTAGACTTCATAAGCACTCCACACTTAGGCTACAGTAAGTTTATAAAGAAATATTTTTCTTCAATAAACAGTTAACCTTAGTTTACTGTAACTTTTTACTTACAAACTTTTTTTAACTTCCTGACTCTTGTAATAACACTTAGCTTGAAACAAACACATCATACAAGCTGTACGAAAATACTATATAAGCTTTTTTCTTGTTTTTTAATTTTTTGGTTTTTTCTCTGTTACTTTTCAAACTTTTTTCTTAAAAATTAAGACACAAAGGGTCAGGATCACCAATATCACTGTCTTCCACTTCCACATCTTGTCCTATTGAAAGGTCTTCAGGAGCAGCAACATGAATGGAGCTGTCATCGCCTATGATAACAATTCCTTCTGGAATACCTTCTGAAGGACAGGCCTGAGGCTGCTTTACAGTTAACTTTTGTTTTTAATAAGTAGGAGTACACTCAAAAATAATGATAATGGCCGGGCGCTGTGGCTCACGCCTGTAATCCTAGCTCTTGGGAGGCCGAGGCGGGCGGATTGCTCAAGGTCAGGAGTTCAAAACCAGCCTGAGCAAGAGCGAGACCCCGTCTCTACTATAAATAGAAA